CATTCCATAAAAAAAGCATATTAAAAATACCCTTATATAAAAATAACATAACATTTTTTAATAGCCTCGTTTTGAAATAATGTTATTTTTAAGGGAGATAACTCTTGTTTTTGGAAACGCAATTTAAAAATAGTATGAGTTTAATTCTAAAACACGAACAACACAGATTCGAAGATTATTCGGGCGACGGTATCTTTTCTTCATTATTTTCTCTAGGTAAAACAAAAATTCCAAAAGTAGCTAGCTTTGTTTCAAACAACAAATCACTCATTTCAACCGGAGCGAAAGCCGTCGGCTCAATCGCCCAAGCGGGAAAGAGTATAAGCGACACAGTGAAACAATCTAACGAGTTGAAAGAATTAGAGCTAATAAGAAAACTGCGAAACAGGAGATTAGAAGAAAGGAAAGGAAAAGGTTTTAAAGTTATAGGATAAAAATGATAGTCGCTCACGCTCCAAAAACTTTTTTTGGTTCAGATATACAAAAATCATTGGGTTCTCTTCCTGGTTTCCATGGGCGAAATATTCCGGAGAAAAACATTTCCCGGTCATAATTACACCGGTCCAGGTACCAGGTTAGATCTGAGATTAGACGAAAATGATAAACCCAAACCGGTCAAAGAACCAGTCAATAGAGTTGACGCCGCTGCGCTTAAACACGACATACTATACAGAAACAGACATAAACTTCAGACACGAGGCAGACAGACAAATGATTATTGAACTGGAAAATATTCCAAATCCAACTTTCAAAGAGAGAATGCAAAGGGCTCTAAACTGTTAAAAGCAAGATGAAATTAGGCTTGGGATTGGCGGAGGAAATTCATAAAGAATTTAGAAAAACTAAAAGTGTTTGAAAAAGATGAAATATGGTCAGCCGATTTTAATTCATATGAAAGTCGAAAGAGGATTTAAATATTGCTTAACAGTTATAGATTTGTATACGAGATATGCTTGGGTTATTCCTTTGAAAAACAAAACAGGATTATCAGTCAAACACGCATTTGAAACGATTATGAAACAATCTAACCGACATCCAGAAAAACTGTGGGTAGATAAAGGAAGTGAATTTTATAACAAAAATATGAAATCTCTGGGATTTGAAATTTACAGTTCGCATAATGAAGGTAAAGCTGTAGTTATTGAGATATATAATAGAACTCTAAAAAATAAATTATTCAAAAAGTTCACGGAATTGAAATCTCAAAATTGGCTTTAAATATTACCAGAGGTTGTAGATGAATACATTAACAAAATTCATTCATCTATAGGTGTCACACCAACACAAGCCTCGAGTAATCCAAATATTATAAAGTCAATTAACGCGCAACATAACTACGAAAATAAAATAAAGAATTTAAATATCAAACCCAAATTTAAAGTCGGAGATCGAGTTCGTATTTTCAAATATACAAGCAAATTCGAAAAAGGTTACGTTGGATACTGGACAAACGAAATATTCATCGTTGATAAAGTAAACACCACATCACCTCCGACATTTGAATTAATCGATCAAGACAAAGAACAAATCATAGGAAGGTTTTATCAAAACGAACTTCAAAGAACCGACTTATAAAAATGAATGAATTTCTCGAAAACAAAGATGATGATGAAGAATTTGATAGAAGATTAAGAAATTTAGATGTAGACAAGCATTTACGCTTTCTTAAATTTAAATGCAAATTTATGTTCAAAATATTATTGAATGTGTTTTTATCAGAATGTAATACAATTTTTTTCAAACACAAACTACGTATATATTTCATCAATTGGGTTTTCAACAATATTTACCGCATACTCCTCAAAAAACCGACTTTTAAAATGAATATCTTTCTCGATAAATATGGAACCTATACAACCACAAATTTTCAACTTATGAGATGGGCGAATGATTTAAATATATCACCGATTTATTATTGTATGAGAGA